CCAATTGCAGTCGATACTTGGGAGTATCGAAGTCAGTTCGCTAAACAGAGGATCGTGTATTGGCGCGGGCAGGAGTCTTCGTCTCGAAATCTTTCCACCTTGTTGACATCGTGTCGATATTGGATGCGGAACATAAGTTATGATGCTTTTTGTCGGCGATAATAAAAAATAATAATTTGAAAATATTATTAAATTTTGAGCACGTGTAACAAAGTATCTAGATTCCAATAAATTTATTTGCGTATTATTCGTTAATGTTCGACAAAAAAAAAAAAACATAGTTTATATTTGTTAAAAACAAAAATTAATCGTGTGGATTTTGAATTGTAAATCTCTCAGAAATAAAAGGAGGTGTCGTGACAGCCGTTTGCATATTTTTCTCAAGTGTTACGAGAATACAATTCTGCGCAAAATTGCGGACGCTGGCCGCAGTCATGATTTCTCTTTTTTAGTTATGAAATAAGTAATCCAAAGTGCATGTAATTAAGTGAAATTCCGAGCTAGCTCTCGCAAAAATTTAATCTAATTTAATCTCTGTTTTAAGACTGCAATTTTATATATTTTTTTGCGAATTAAGATTTTTTCTAATTTTAAAATATCAATAAAATCGCGTTGACATTATAATGCAATATTCATTTTTTTGTAATATTGAAAGTATCAACAAATTACAATTCACTTTACATCGTAAAATAATCAGAGAGATTCGCACTACTTGTTTATTTTTCTAAATAAACAAAATTGCGATCGCAATGCATCTTATCGATATACTCCATTTTACACTATCGCTATCGCCATTAAAACGAGTCGTACTTTTCTTGTCGTGACGTTCTACTGGCGACTGCGAACACCATCGACGACGAGTCGCGAATATGCGAGCGATGTAAATTCCGCGCGTCGACGGAAGTGCTCCGTTTCAGCTGCAGTTGCATATCCCTTCCCCCTGACCTCACCTCGTTCTCGCGAAAGCATGCTGCGGCTTTCGGCGAATGTCTGGAAAGCACGTCGTTTGGTATTTTCCCGAATGGTAGAACGAAAGTGGCTTCGGCCGTTAGAAGCGGCGGGCTTTTTAAGAACAAAAGCGAATTCGTCACGGTTAACGCTTCCTCTCTCGTATGCATTAATAATTTCAAAGTTATACGCAATTGTACTTTAATTCTCTCAATGTGGCATTGATGTATTTGAATGCCGAGAAGGTAGCATGGTAATTCTGTTGCGTTTTTAAGACTCCTAAAAAGAAAAATATCTTCACAATAATAGAGATAATAATCTGAAATCTGCTTCAAGATTTGAGAACAATAAAACAGGTATTTCTTTTTCGAATAATTTATATGTATTCTTTAGTGATATATTGAGACGACTTCTGAACGATCACAAAAGTTTTAAACGATTCTCATAGCGATACACAATCGGACTAATGCAATCAAACTTTTCCGGAAGCCTTGAGTAAATCCAAGATTCTGTAAAATTGTACCGACTCGAAGATTTTCTATGAATTTTTAATCGTGCACGTCCGCGGGACTGCCTACCAGAATCCGGGATTTCCTACCTTATGTTCTGTACGTGGAATAAGATGCGAATGCCATTAAAGGACCATGAGAACGTGACACGAAATACTCATTGCAAAAGAATCAACCGAAGAGTATATATGTTAGATAATCACAACATTTGTCATAGTTAACAATATTTCTTTATGTCCAATAATTTGAACGAAATTTAACTTGCAATGGAAATTTAAAAGACAAATACTGTATCTTGTATACCCCGTTTTTAAATTATTATATCGATTAATATAATCGATAATCGGTTATCATAAAAATTTTTGCCATTATATAAAACGAAAACTATCGTACGGATATTAAAAAAAACTCGAAGCACTCCTTTTACAGTTAAACGCGACAGAATAAATCTCTCTTTGTCCCAAAAAGATAAGCAACGGCGCACCATTTCCACTGAATATTTGAGCAATTTCTACATTTGCAAGTGGCTTACATTTGTACTACATCCCTAAAGTCGTTCGTATGCATCTTCGATCGTCGAAAACGCTCCTGGGACCCGCCACTCTCTCTATTTCCTGCTTCTGACCATTTGCTGCACATTGAAGAACGGCGGATGATATCCGTCAGTACAGACGAATAAACGCGCAGCGGGAAAGACCCCCGATCTTACTCTACCCATAAAATATGAATGAGCTAGTAAGTGCATCTCGTAGGAAGATCTCGTAGGAAAATTTCTCCGTCGTTTGCGACAAGCTACGTGCACTTTCGTAGTCGCGTCGTAGATGCATCGGCATGAATAGAATTAAGTAATTTGTTCAGTGCTTTCAACAATAGTTTCAATAGCTCCTTTAATGCATCTAAAATACGCACACCTAAGAAATAGAAATTTAACATTTAAAAAATAGAATATTCTGTTACTTTCGAATAAATGCTGCTTCTTAGAGTAGTCTTTTGCCGTAAATAAAATTGTTCAGTTAGATTTATTTATAAATGCATCTGAAAAAAAGACTCGAAAATAAAAATATATAAATTACATGTACAACATTTTTAAAGTATAGTAAATAGAGATGAAAGGAAGCAAATACACGTATCTATTGTTATATGAATTTAGTTACTCGTCATCTTTAATACAATACCATCGATAATGGAACAAGAGGTGCCCTGCATTGAAGATGGTGAAGTTCTTAGAGTTCTGTTTGAGCGTGCAACTAACAGCTCGAAGCAGCACCGTGGTGCAAATTCAATTCCTCCTTGATCGGCGAGGACTTAACCATACCACTGTCGCAAACACAATCAAAATTTCTGTTACGGAACATCTACGATAGTTAACGTCGTACGTATACATCGATTAATTGGAAACCAACGCGAAAGTGCTTCAAACAAGCTAGATAGATGATTAAGAGAAATAATTAATAACATAAGAAATGAGTCGAAAAATGTATAGAATTTTACTTATTCAAATTTATAGCTCTACTTTATTACTACTTAATTGGATAATCTGAATGAAAATTCAATGAACTCAGATAGAACATTAATAGCGCAAATGGAACTGAATCAATGATTGTAATTTCGCAATTTGGAAATGACCGAGGAAAATTTATTGTTACTGTTTCCTCAGCTCATTCGGATCCATGAAGTCTGTCAAGTGACAGTCCTGTTGCTCAGACTATTCCCTAACGTAAACTTTCACAACGACTCTTCTACGTGACACTTTCGCGGGAAACTTACAGTTTGACAAGCGGAAGATATATCCTTGAAAGGTGAGAGGCGGCATTACTCTTAAGTGATTGCCTAGAAACGGCCCTCTCGTTTGCGAATGGAGTGGTATCCAAAGTTTACTCCAAAATCAATATGGGATCTTATATCACCGCACGCGCCATTAGTTGCCAAAGTCGCTAATATTACAATCATTATGTGACTTTGAGCTTTACTTCGCTGTCATTAAATTAAATTTTATCATAAAGTTTTTTTCAATATTTTATTAAATATTTTAATAAAATCTCGCGAATTTGTTCAAAGTATATTTTAAGTAAAAGTATTTTTATTTCAAATAATTGTTTGTCCTTTATAAAGAAAAGAACATTCTTTAGATGTTCTTGAAGCTTTCAATGAAACTTACATATTAAGCGGTACTTTATTGGTAATGGACAAAACTGGCGCATCAGAGGGTTGAAGGGAATTTGGAGACGACCACTAATCTGTTGAACTAACCGTCCTTTGTCATGTAAGTGAACAATAGCGTTGTAGAACTTCGAAACATGCTCCATCCATTTTAGTAGTTTTCAGAGGATCAGCTCTATTGGTAAATCGTTTGAAATTTAGCTTGGTGAGATTTAGCGTTTGTTCTACAAAGACGACTCTTTCAAAGTATCGAAAGATTGAAAGTAATGGATTTATTCACTAATTATATCAAATGTATAATAAATTACGCTTCGTTAGTAATGTGACCTCTAGTATCAAGTATCAAGCTACTTGTGGTTGGTATCTGATTCCCTATTAGAGAACAGAGATATTCAGAGTACTTGAAAACAACATGGCGTGTTATACGACACTATACATGTAACATTAATATAATTTCATTTATTTTTTATGACCACATGCGATACAACGAGGAAATTGTATAATGTTTGATGTTATTACTTTGATGTTATAGCATCAGTTTTTTCTGGCGCATATGTATAAACCCTCGCGGAATCACTGTAGTAATAAATTCGATATCACTGTTTCCAATGGATCTCCGATTGGACCAAAAACATTTCGGTACCACTTTGGCGAAACCATTTTTCGTTTAAATTCTCATCGAAATCCGTATATTTATGGACGACACGTCGATACAAATGGCATAGAACATACCAGATTTACGATTAAACTCAGTTGAATATGGCTGACGCGGTCAAACTCGGTCATTTTGTCGCAATAAGCACGAAGAGAATGTGCATTTTAATTCTATTTGACACCATAATCGAACTTTGAAACTGTTAGTCCAAAAAATTTTCGAGAAATTTGTTTTGAAAAAAAAAATATAATTAGATTATGATATATTATATTTCAGTATATAACATAGTCATGCTATTTTTTTCGCTGTATTTCAGTATAGTATAACATAGTCTATTCGTGCTATTCTATTCACTTTTATAAATAATACCAAACGTACAATAGATACACAGACGATATTTTTTTTACAAATATAAATTTGTAGATTGCAGACCTGTATATGTTTTATAAAATTATTATGTTCTTGATGTCAAACGCGATGCCAATCGCGAACGTGAATTTATAGTATCACAAAATCTCACGAAATAAGTGTTATACACGAAGAATGAAATATTATTCGGCAGAAATGAAATATGATATTGTTGTATGAATAATAATATTATAGGTACTTTTATTCGTGTCGTGTTATATCTTCAAAAATGAAAAAATGAAAAAATTCACATTACAACGCGCATCGATATAATACGTCGACATTAAGAGATAAATTTTGCACGTGTATTTCGTACTCACCTTGCCAAAATTTGAGAGACCACCGATTTGAGGCACTTGACCGGGTTCATCCGCCGTGCTGCAGTCTGCCCTAACGAACCAACAGGTCAGTAACTCAGTAGCGACAATCGTGAGTGTTATTGCGATAGAATCCTCTCTAATCACAGGTTTCCACGCTCCCGTAATGCTAACGATAATGGCAATAGTATTATTCACAGGACAGTAGCTTGCGCCGTAGTCGCGCACACATACAATGAATGGTTCGCAATCATATCGCAACTAACTCGTCTCTATTCCGAATGATCTCGAGATATTCTCGCATGCGGGGCTTCATTAAATTTCTATTACACAATGTAATTAATTTTAGTTTATTCGTTTTCGTAGTAAATCCACAAATATTTTAATACCAGTATCTTCAGTTTTCAAATTTACTTTTATTCTCGGAAAAGAGAATATTTTTTCTCTACACAAAACATATCGGAATAGTCGCAAGCCGCTAGATAAAAACGTTACATGCGCCGTCGGTCTCAATTTTTATATATATATTTTGTAAAATCGATTAAATTAAATGCGAAGCAGTTGAAATTTTCACGAAAAATCTAATCGTCTTTCGGATTTAGATACATATAAAAATTGGGATGAGGTTGCGCGTGTAAAATACTCTTAGTGCATGTGACAAATTCGTGTAGTGAAAAATTTAGGGGATTATTTCATCCGCAATTTGTCGAGTTTTATTTCGAGATAATTACGAGAACGATTCTCTATGGCCGTTGATAGGATCGATAGTGTATTTTTCTACAGCGTGATGTATTGTTAATTGGATCCTGTCATGTAACGCGCAAGTAAATGACGTTTCGTCGAATTGGATGGCTTGTATGCCAAAGAAATCGACCAGTTACTGTGTCAATACCGAAAAATAGATTTCTATACAAGTCATTTTTTTTCTCGATCTGTACACGTATCTTTTAATAATGGTATATCGCGTAATCCATTCCAATGATCCACGGCATGTTATGTCACGTCTAATCGGAATAATTATTGACGACGTAGCGGGCAAAGGGAGTTAAATATCTTATGTAGATGGGATTACGCGAAACATACAACGTGCTTTAGGTGTCAGCTCGAGGACTCGAGATAATACTATGCTGACAATCGCGCGCATTAGTACCGATATCCTTTAAACCGTCGCGAATAGAGCAATGATGCGGTGGCAGCAATGATAGCGATAATCGATAACCATCGACCGTCGTGTACTAATCCTCGACTCGAGATCGGTTTGAAGTTTCAGCCGCATTACTGGATTTAATTGCGAACGGTAGACACACACACACCTGCCATTAAATCACCGATCTCGCGGCTTTCTCTCTCGTTCGAGTGATCGGATCGAAACTGCGTCCTCGAACGTTTCATCGCATCCAAATTAAATCATGTGAATGTGATTTCACGAATTTATGATCGCGCGCGCTTAGAGAGGCGGCATTTTTGTTTGACCGCGTATCGTAATCGCTCTATCTATCGTAGTCGTAAAATGCCGAATGCTCGCCGGACGCGTATAATATTGTTACAATATACATTAATCCGCGCGGGGGATTTATCATGTTACACGTGAGATTTAATTACAAAGCAACGCAGGGATGCATGAAATATGTCGGCCGTCGTGTTCCGCCCGTCGCGGAAATAAATCGCGTCGGAGGCATCGCGTCTGGTCGCATCTATTGTTAACAATTTTTATCGGTGCGGCTTTACGCGCATTTCCTCCCGGCGCGGTATATCCTTAGGCCGGGCTAAATATATACTCATAAATGAACCGAGCGAGTTGATCGCCGTCTTGCGTGTTTCTTTATACATCGCGTAATGCAACGGTCGTAATGACGAGAATAAGTACGTATTATTCGACGAAATAACCTTCTCTTTTATTCCCGAGATATATCGAGGACGTTTTAAAAAGCAGCATTTTAAGATAATTTTGCCCTCCTCGGGATAATGCTAACTTGACGTAACGAATACATTACTTAATTGAGTAGAACGGAAGCTCTAATTTAGAAGTGATTTTTAAATAGTAGTATTAGATTGCACGCAAAAGAATTTCGCGTCTAATATTAATCAGACAGAAATGTATATTTTTTATTTGAATAAACATTTTTATCGTAAAGTTCTAGGAAATAAATGGCGAAAGTTTGTAAAAATGTTATAAATCCATCTTGATCATAAATAATAACAACAATGAAACTATAAAACCTATAATAGAGCTCCGATTCTCTGGCGAATGTCATAAAATAGAGAGCGATATTCTAGAAAACACGCAGAAATACAAAACGAGAAGATATAAATTGAGACTCATCTGGCTCATATAAAAACGTCGGAATACGCGATATTCGCCTTGCAATATTCGTCAACTCGCTAGGAAAGTTTTATATTATGTTCTTCTTTTGCAGGAATTTCTGAGAGAAGTCTCGTAAAAATAGGCCGGCACTCGCGAATTTGTTCATTGTTTGTCGCGTGTAATAATATTTCTACGGTGTGTCTACCGTGGCATCAGCTGGGGCAGACGACCTGCGATTTTAACCTCGTGTACCGCTCGATACTCTTCCTATCTCGAAACAAAACAACTTGACGTATAAAAGAAAAACTCGTGGATTATACCAGGGAATTTCACGTTGAAACATAGGATGACATGATATAATCGAATCATTTATTTTAGAAAGGACTTTATTCAAAAATTAAAAAGAAAAATGCGTTTTTACTTTTTATACGTAATAATCCTTTCATATAAAAATAATAATCTCTCTCTATATAATATATATTTGTATATAGAAAAATTAATGTTAACTATAATATTAATAAAAATGTAGCAATAGAATGAGAATGAATGTCCTCTCTAAAAATATATTAACTATCTACTGCATTTTTCTTGAGAATTTCGGAATAATATTCTCTCTGGAATAATTGACTTAAATATATCTCATTTTACTAACCATCACAAGTAATTTTATTAGAAAATTAAAATTTTACGAAACCTGAATATTTTGAAAGTGGATATATTAATTCACATAAAACTAGATAATCCATATAATACGATCTCATAAAAATCTCTCGATATTGGAATCGCCAGCTTTTTCAATTCGACTTTTAAAGGGCCGGAACTAGGAATTCTGAATTATTGTATAGACGTGCGCGAATATACACATATACACTGCATACATACACATACACGCACTCTGTGGTAACGTTGATCTTACGGTCCGTGCACGAACTATTATGGGAACTTTAATCCGTTTACGTTAAACGTTTTACTGCTCGCGTTCAAAGCGATAGCTTTTAATGCACGAGAAATGAACGAAACTGTGTACGGCTTCGAATTACTACCGTCGACCAGAGGGTATTTCACTTCAGGCAGAACGCGGATGAAAAGTCCCGGCTGTAAAGGCATCGATGATGGCACCGCAATGCTCAACGTTATTGCGCGGTTTGCGGCCCATTTTCAGCGACCGGACGATAAAGTTCTATCCTGGTAATCGCTATTCACGCATCAACGCGCATCCGGTGATCAATTTTTATTTCGACTACTGACTCTGACAACTTTTTCGTTCTATTCGATCTATTATACGCTCTCGCGGTACCAATATTTACGTTATTTTTGCGAAACGAGATACGAAATGCAAAAGCCTTGTCCGGTCTCCGAATTTTTGCGTTACAAACAACGCACTGTAACGACGAACTTTCTCAAACACATATTCCCAACGCGAAAAATACACGTATATGTATATATTTGAGATTTGCTAAATCAATTTTATCATTTGAAATCTGAATTTTGATCGTACGTGTAATTTTCTATCTTAATGAGATCATTTAGCATTTAGCGCGTTTAACGCCTCGATTTAAGCGAAATAGACTGGCTGCAGCGCGCGTGCACTTTGTGAAACTTAACATTATTAGAGTTTGAGCCTGTGTATGTGTATGTGTGTTCGCAAACGTATAACGGCGACAACCACATAACGAGATTGCAGCTCGTACGATCTCGCACGAGTGTAACATCGTGACGGGATGTCGGTGTAACGCGTTTTGCTTCTGGTTTCCTTATTGTCCCGCTTTACAGCACGACACTTTTATGACGTTTATGTCGCATTTCTGCGTTGGCACACTCACCAAGGCGTGTTGCACGTGTGCGTGAGGGTGAGATACCTGGCGCCGAGCTCGTACAGCATCCTCAGGACCGCCAGACTCGCCCCGACGGCGTGGCCCCCCTCCACCCCTATCAGACTCGCTAATCTACCCTCTTTGTGCGCCTTCTCGATACCTGAAATCATACGTTATAATTTAATTCGCGATCCCCGTTTGCTCATGATGTAATAGGCACAAATAATTTTGAGCCTTATTCGGAACTGAGCCCATCACTATTACGAGCTATTATTCTGACAGAATAGCGGTGAATTTGTATCACACGCGCCATTTGAAATCAATAAAGGAGAAATGTGTTCCAGACGCGTGCGTTAAATAGATAAATCCCGATAATATACATAAATGTGAACGTTTAAACTCTTCGACGAAACCTGAATCTAATTTATATTTTGTCCATTAATTTTTACACCATCGAAAGAATCTCATTTCCGTGATTTTTCGCGCGTAACGCGAGTGACACGTGAATCAAATAATATATAGCTGAAACACACCGTTACAAAGTTTCCCAGTCGTGCTCCCGATAAGTAATGCCGATGGTAAATGGATCTGAGAAAGTTTGCAAATTCTGTTTGCGCGTGACATTGGAAAACAACGACGAAGTCGCGCTGAAGCAACGTTTTCGATGGATATACGTATGCTCCGAAATTGTCGAGACGAAATATCGTTGGGGAAAAATACTTAAGCGCGATATTTCACCCGTGTGTTCCTCTTATTTCGTGCGAGACCGAGCGTAAACGATACGAATGTAAAATTCAATTACGACGCGCACAATGCACGACGCACGTGGTTTATAATTAAGCGAGCTTATCCGACGTCTCTGATCTCTTTGGATTAATTAAATCTTTCAAATTATCTGTCGTTATCGAATGTTTCATCGCGACGATCGTTAATTACATAGTATAAATAGAAGTTAATTAAGCCGATGATGATCTCGGGCCGCTAAAATCCAAAACCCGGAATCGATCGAAGAAAACTCAGGGGTTGAAGTTAGGGCTCTTAATCAACGGGTAATCGAGCATTTTGTCATTCCGCGAATTCGATTTGTGACGTTTAATCACTTAACCAAATTCGTCGGCACAAGATCCGGTCGATGGTATCGAGGAATTCAATTTCGCGGTATGCATCATGCGGATTTGATTAAAATACCTTATTGGGTACGTCGGTTTAGGGAGCGTCTTGCCATCAATACATTCGCATACAAATGCGTACAATTATAATTTTATCGGGTGTATAATTTTATCGTACCAATTCTTATTGCCCGCTTGAGCATACGTCAACATCGGCTTACAGATGAGTTTGATAAAAAAAAGCAACGTTATAATTTATCATCCAATTACAAAGAATTCACGGCAGCTAGGCGGAAGTAATACACTTGACGTCAACGGATTACCGCGCTTCTAAAAATAACATTCCGGAGCGAGGTAATATCACACACAAAAGCAGTAAACCGGTATACATAATACGACCTGTATGCTGCATCGTTACAATATACAAATGTGTGTATTTTTAATACGTTCTCATTTATTAATAAATATCTGTACGTATTATTCGTACATTGGTTCAACGATCGATAGTCAGATAATTATTAAAGAGTCCAGACAGATAATTGAAGAACTCAATGTAGGACTCTCTCTTGCATAAGAGAAAAATGACATTTTCAGAAATAAATTCAATTTTCTGGGTCAGTTATTTTTTTAAGTCGGAATTATTTTACTTAAATTTTTTGATGAGAAATAAAAGGCAAATTGTGTTAAAAAAGAAACAGAAATCGCATTATCTTTAACTAAATTGTTTTACATTCTTTTTTTTTTTTAGAAGCGGTGCGACTGCTCGCTGCGTTGGCACTGACGAATCGTAATTTTGTTCCCACTTGCGAAAGTTCGCGAAACGAAAGTTGCTAAGTAGAAAAGTGCCCTACTAAAATTTGCATACTTTTTAAATAATCCTCTTTTACAACGAAAGATCGTGGTACCTATCTTTCAATAGCCTTGTATGAAGACTTCCGACATGTCTATTTAAGTCACTTCAGATCCAAGAGGTCCTTCAACCCTCACGGAAGGTGAACCCTCCTCTTTCCTTCGTCTACGAACGTTAAAAAAGTTTAACAATGCGCATTTTTTCCCGCTCGAATCCCGAGTCAAACCGAATGTGTCACAGCGATGTCATTTGTCGTGGTGGGACGGCTTTAATTTTTCCCGTTGACATGGCCAGCGATTACGTTGTATTACGGCTTCTAATGAACGAATGGACAAAAAAGGAGCGACGCGAATAAAACGCGTGCTGTCGATGGGTCCTTGATTTAGTGCGCCTAGCGATTTATACTTTTGCACCCGCTCTCATGTAACGCTGATACATTTGTCCTGCGAATGTATCGGTTCGCCTGCTTTCATGGGTGTATGCATGTATCCTATGTCTGTACATGCATGCGAATGTATATGTATGCACTCGCACATATATATATATATATATATATATATATATATATATATATATATACATATAAGACGAGTGCTCTTCGACATTATCGGAGGAACTACGGAGCTCCATGGTTTCAGAACATTCTTCCATTTCTCGTGGAATTTCTCATCTTCCACGTTCTACCGGCACCCTTTCTTCCATCTGGCAGATTGCTTCCCCAAAGTGCTATATTTTGTACCATCTCGCGTGCGCGCGCGCATGGCGCACTCTTTTCGCGCGACTCCCTTTTCCAGTCGGAAGAGATAACGCGCTACCGATGTGCATAAAATTTGCATATAATTTTAAAAAGACGAGCATACGGTTTTCTTTACGGTGACATATGATCGTTTGTCTTCTTATCAACACTCACGTAATGCGCTGTGAATAAAGTAAAAGCGATGCTTCGAAAAATATGAATAAATACCGAGTTACGCGCGGAAAATGAAGTACGTAATTTTTTCCTTACGTATATCATAGGGAATGACAGATAAATACTGCTCCGAAAATTAAATGTCTTTTTTAATCAATTCAAATTTATTAATATATTTATATATACAATTCGCACCGAAATTTATTTCATCTAGGAAATGTCACTCTCGAGATACGTTTGACACTCTAAAATATCGCTCGAAAGCGCACTATAACGTCCGACGAAATTACAAGCAAATATCTCTGTGTCCTCTGAAATACCTTGGTCTTTTAATCAGCGGAGAGAAAGTCGCGATGGGGAATATGGGACTGTCGGTTTGGTACAATCAGATGTCCGTACATATGAATGTACATATGCGTATTTTAGGTTCATTTACATATGCATGTGAGCGGCGACATACAGTCGTCGACGTTCGGGGTTATCGAACGAAGTATATCGGTCGGCGTATCGGACCGACATTTTTCCATTCTGGTTGGAATTCACCATCCGGTGCATCTTTCTTGCGTTCCATCATCTTCTCATCGGATTTGCGTTACGCTTAGACAGCGCGCATTGTGACAGCGGGACAACGAAATCCAACGGCAAATATTTGCTCGCCAAATATAGAAATATTTTCTAGGAATTCTTGACGCGTACATATCTTTGCGAAATATGACATATTAAAAATAATAGAGATAGCAAGAAGAGAAAAAGAAAAAGAGAGAGAAACGTAACAGAAAAGAGAAATAACATAATAACAATAATTGAGATGCGGTTAAGAATTATGACAGGAATTTTATATTGTTTATTAAAAATGAGAGAAAAAGAATTTGACATATTCCAATAAAATTCACGAACCTGTGTGTGTGAGAAATTTCCTATACTATCAATCTCCAATTTATATTTAATAAAATGCACTTGAATTTTCTCTGTAATAATTCTCTAATAATTTTTCTAAATAACTCCGTCTCAGTAAGCTGTTTTTATATTATATAAATATCGTAAAATATTTGATAATATAATAATAACAGTCGATGTTGCCACTAGCGTATTTTATTATGTATATATATAATCATTTTATTTGTGTGCCGAAGCTGCAATTTGTGTTCTATAGTGTTTGCAATCAAAAAAGATTTCCCGTAATATTAATCTTGAATTGTTTTCATAGCAAGTCTTTGTCCAGGAATGCATACGTCAAAACGAAAACCAATCGATAAAGCATTAAGACTATTTACTGAGACTATCTTTGTTCGTTTTCTCGTTTTCTCGATGTCGCAGATTCATCACATTGTAGTCATTGCCTTTTTCTATCTTTTCTTTTACCGATTCAACATTTCTTTCATGTTTGAAGAAAAATGTCATCGGGGTTTTATGTATTTACGATATGGTAATATCTATTATGGTAATATCTATTATTTTTAAATGTTTAATAGTTATATAAATTAATAACATTCAACATTTTCGACCACTGCAATTTCTCGATGAATCAATTATTTGTAGATATTATTAAAATTAAATCATAATAAGAATTGAGACAGTTTAGATGACATAAATATTTGAAAATCATCTAGAATAAAAGCTTCTAAAAAGAAAAAAAGAAAACATCATATTAATATGTCTAAAAAATCTTTCAATGTTTTCTAAAATTCTAGAACTTTAATTTTTGGCATATTCATCAAAGTTTTAGTAAATATTTTTTTTTGGAAATGCTATATAATATTATTATTCAATCCAATTTATTAAAAAGCAATTACAAAATGGTAAATGACAATTTCGAAAGCTATAGCAATTTATTGTTATTATTGATAGATATGGAGCAAAAAGTGATGTACGAATTTATATATTTATTTATATAAATGTAATCTCTCTATACAAAATACACCATGAAAATATTATTGATGTGATATTGCTCTGCCATATTTTTATCAATACAAACGAAATTGGACTCTCGTAATTCTCTCTTTTTCTCTTTTTTTAAATTTTTCATGGAATCAGTAAATGAATTTCATTTTTCGTGCAGACTATTTCTCTTCAATTCGGTGATACATGTATGCGTAAAAGCTCCGTCTTTTCCGTGTAAAAATTTCTCTTCTAAAAATAAAGAAACGGCAGAAAAACCTCTCCCTTCAATCGATCTTATTACATTCTCGCCTTTTTCTAATCCTTTTGTGGAACTTCGCACCTGGAAAACTCGTCTGTTCTAGCGGATCGTTCCGAAATGGATTCGACGAGGTCGAAAGACACTTCAAGAGACATTCGAAAGATGCTTCTTACGTTGAAGGAGCGATTGCTCGTTTTCTGGTTCGCGTTTCTTCTTCACTATCTAAAGTGCATTCTAAATTTTTGAAAGGAAAGTCCATAACGAAAATGACGAAGAATGGAGAACGACGTTTCTCGCTGACACAGTACCAAAGGATCTCAAACATGTCGAGGACTCGAGCGGCAAATAGGTAATCCGATTCGATAATGAAAATTTAATGCTATAGCGATTTTGCCGGTTTCAAGCGGACACGGATAACATATTTCCACAGGGTACGGTTTAGTTATATTTTTATTTTCACGAATATCCATCAACGAAAAATGTCACACGGAGATTACAGGAGGAATGCGGACGTGTGGATAACAGCTGGGGAAAAAATTCATAGGTAGAGAATTCAAAAATCTGTTTAGCTGGACGAGAAGAAATCAACCATCGCATCAGTTTTATCTCCGTAATTTTAAACATCGTTAGCTCTGCAGAGAGTAAATTGATACAGCGAACAATTATGTAAGATTGATCCCGCGTCGAGTAACGCATTAATTTTCACGCGAAACTCGGATTATCAAGTAATATGGTCGGCATTAAAGGGTTAAGTGGAATATTCGTTGTAATCTGCGGTATAATAAATTCCCTGTCGAATGAAAAATAGCGAGTATTTTAAATTGATCGGCCTTCCAAAGTTCTCTCGCGGATCTTCGATCACATATTTTTCTGAGAGGCGAAGTGTCGATCGAGTGAGTGTTCAATCGAAAATATTTGAAATACTGAACGAAGTTGAGGTCGATTCGCGAACTGGCTATGTGCCAAATGTACATCGCGAGGCGAATTTTCATCCTCGCAAGTCGCGATGCTTTTAATGTTTCGGGCTACTATATCTCATGTATTCTCGATTTTATCTCGCTGCGTTCGCGATCTTATGAGTGCTCGGGAATAAAAAAATTACGAACCTTCTGCTGTGGTAACCAGGATCATATTTTCCTGATGCTTGTTAACTAATCGACGAATAAGGTCTATTTGTTCCAAGGCCAACTGCACCGAGTCAAGATGCTGTGACGAGCAGGGTACATATGCAGACCAAAACTGCAACAGTAAAACGGAAATATGTCAATTATTCAATTTATCAATTTGTTTGCTTAATCTACGAACATGTGTTGAATAATATTCTTAATTTCTTATTTTTAATATAAATATCATTATATAATGATATAGATTATATTTTATAGATTATACAACAAGCGAATGTAAATGATGATTATTATTTAATTATGTAAAAGATACATCAATTTTATATTGATAAACTCACTCGAAAATTCATCATATTAATGGATATATTATGACGATACTGAAATGTAAAGTAGACTATTTTCATGCTAAAGCTAAAATCGATAAAAAAGGTTGCGATTTATTACAAAGGATTACTTGTATTCAATATTGGCTCTCATGGGTTTATTCTAATTTAAAATACAATAACGTTAATCTCATTCGTATTCTAATTACGAGATATTTCTGACACGTTTAATGCTCCCTTTTAATCCAGCATCTGATAACGTTAGAAATATATAATTAAATGCACATTACGATAGTCTACAAACACGGGATAATTTGCATTTTAAATAACCGGGTATCGGCGGGGATCGTAAATAACAGAAACTTTAAGGGTCCCTTTGCGTAATGCATTCAAAAGCAAGAATGTAATGGCTCGATTTGTGGAATAATTTGGCTCTGAATGTACCGTCTTGTAAGGTTACGCTCTATGCATGACATCGTACATGACATTACAAAAAACCAACGCGACTTCAAAAAGGCACGCGATGCGGAGATCGCGATTTCTGTTTTTAACCGTCACGCGAGATCGTCGCGCGGCGATATAATTAGTTCTTTTGCTCGTTACGACATCCGTTTGACATTACAGAATTTATGTGCATACTTTAGCTGGTTATCCTTATAGTCCGTAAATTAAACAACACTGTGATTAGATTGCTTTTTTTTTGTTGCGCTTCATTATGTCCTTAAATATGCTTTTCTCCAAGAAAGCAGGAAAAAAAGAAGAGTAATTATACATGAAGTTAATAAATTTTCATAAAGAAAGAAGCGCTTGATATCTCGTCAGATGACACCGTCTGAACTCGGACATGATAAACATTAAGTTGGTGTTTTGTAATCGAAACTAGGACAAGAGGTGTCTTATTTTAGCGCAAATTTTTCGCACTATATTATGCACAAGTGCGCGCATCGCGTCGTCGGCGAGAAGTTTTATTCAACAATGCGGAAGAAATTTATGCTTGAGGCGTGAAATTACCGTCGCCGCGTCGTAAATCAGCGGACGAGAAGAGGCACGAGGGGATTCTTCCGGTTTTTCTTTCAGTATCGCTTCGGTCTGCAGTTGACGGGAATTGCACCGTCGCGAATCGCGAAGCCGCCGACGACGTCGCGAATAGTGACGACTTTAATCGCGCGCGATGCCAGCAGCCGTAATTACGGTTCGGGACTCGGGTATTTCGAGTACTTCGGTGACTTTTAGCCGCGAGACGGCTAATTGCGACGCGTAAATAATTCAACGGTAGAGAGCGGAAAGTTCGGCCTACGCTCGCGGTTTAATGTCGGTACGCCAAACGGAAACTGCACAAGACGGAACAACTTTTAACTCGTAATTGCTCTTGTACATATAGTCGAATGATTACTTGCGGAGAGCAAATACAGCCGTCGAAAAAATAAAAAAAAAATGTAAACTTGACGTTATATCGAGTATATACGCGCGGTATTTACTTAACGAGCGCATTATCGTGCCAGACATGACATCTTTCGTGTCTAATGTGCTGCACTCACGTGTACTACATTATTTAAGATTACAGGAATTATATATGATTATCAATGAATAAAATATCATTCGCCATTAATGGCCTTTTTTTCATTCTTTCTTAGGATAATTATGGAGAAATATACGTTCATATACGCAAACAAGCACTATTTCGAGTTCGCAATTGCATTCCCGTTATCAGCAATTCCAATTCTAGATGCGAAATCTTAATTTCAAATGTCACGATGGAAGAAACTTGATTTCAAAAGATGAACAACGCCACGTAATCTTACATCAGAGAAAATGCAGGGATATTAAGCGAAATATACCGACGTCTGTATTAGTGGTACAATCGCTCCTCGTATTCCCCCTCACGATACTGCAAGGAGGCAGTTACCGCAGCATTTTAGGTCAGACATTCACAAAACATGTTTTCGTATGTGTATATAATGTGTATGTATGTGTGCGAGCGGTTCCTCTTTTCCCTTCCGTACCTTTCTCAGCTGCGCGCAAGAACGAGCAGTAGTTGTGGCGAGTTTTAGGTCAGACGTTCGTAAAAATACTCTCCTCTCTGCGTGTATACAACGTGTCGTATCTGCGATTCTACTTAAAGGCGAACTGTGCTTGTAAGGACCCCCTGCTCTCTCTTTCATTCTCTTTTTCTTCCTCTTTTTTTCTCTCTCTTTATCTCTCTCCCTCTCTTTTTTCTCTCTCTTCCTCTCGCCGTAGTACGAGATAAGTTTTAGCAATCTTGTAGCCGCGCAATGCGAACTGGCTATTAAGACGGCCGTTTTAACTTACCTCGCGGAGATCACTTGGCGAAAAACCGCGCACGTGAAAATCGATTTAAAAAATTGCTTCCTTTTTTTCTTATCGTGTTACTTTATTAATCCTCGCATCTGGCACCGTGTAAATTTTAAACGTATTTCGTATCGCGTTGTAATGTACGGATTCTCTCTCGCGAGCTTCTCGCAATATTAGAATCGCAAAAATACCGCTCTCTATTTTATCTACTACTTGAGAACACAATACGGACTATATAAAAATAAACGAACTATATAAATATACGAAATATATAAAAGTAAAATAAATACTTTTAAATATTAATTTTTTACAAAAAATAATAGTTTACAAATGTTTTGTTATTATTTGGCGAATTTATCGATATTGAAATCATTCGTATATTTGATCGATTTAATTGTACTTTTATTGCTACTCGTTTAGTTATTGAATGTTAAAATATAACAAAAAATGGAAAAGCAAAAATTCAATTTAATAACAATTGTCGAAAAAGAGAGATAAAAAAAAACGTGTTTTGCCGCTGGCGTTACATCTTCCCCATCAATCTTTTTACAATGGATCTAATATTTCGAAACAACTACAGGAAACGTAAATTTTCTCCCGTCTTACCTCAAATTGCTTCTCTTGCTGCGAAGTCGCCGAAGGTGTAACGCAAATTCCCACCGAGAGACGCGATAAATCGGGTAGCTTCGGCTCATCTCAAGTTGAAATGCACTTTCGTGATTTGTGATGTGCTGGAAATGCCGAGAATCTCGCGGATAGACAGCCCGAGGGTTCAAACGTACTTGTATCGATTCTTCAAGTATTTTTCGGATTTTACGATGCGTAATGTACTGTGCATGAGATCATATTGGGGAAGTGTGTTTTGGCTTTCATTTGTATTAGATCTCCATTAAATGAGAATAAAATGTGTACATTTCCGAGAAAATAATTTTAACAAAAATTCATATTCAAGAAACTAAAATTTATATTAATACGTAATAACAAAAGAAATTGATACTTTTATTTTTTCTAATTTTGATGCGAGTTTGATTGAGAAAGCTTGTATGTTTGTCAAAAAGGGATTATTAGAAGGGAAAATCTTGTCCACGTCGCGATATTATGTAAGATTCTATGTAAGTCGACAGCACGCGATCAATGGAGTAACCTTTCACAGTGGATACCAGTCAGTCCGTTTGAATTAACCAGGACAGTGATAGATCGAGGGGCCCCGGTTTGGTTACCGTATATATGTATATGCGTTATATATACGTGTTATGTGCATGCATGTGTATGCGAGTTCGTCCCAATGGACATAACCGAGTGGTTATCCCTTTCGTCCTGACGTTGGCAGACTGGATACCTTAAGGGATCTGTTGAGGTCGGAACATAATCCGAAATATATATAGTATGAACAACTCTCATGCTTTGCTTTCCCTTTGATATTCTCTTCAGTATCGCTATGCTGTTAATATATTTTTAAATAATATATTTTTAGAAAATTATTAAAAAAATTAAAAATGATCGATGAAAATAATATGCATATTGAATAATATTATAATCGTTATGCGGCTTTATTATTATTATAATACGGTGTTCTACGTGTAATATCACCTTTTATTCAGATTAATTATAAAATTCTCGCGTTTCCATTTTAATCGCGTTATTAATGATTCGCGTATAAATGTGATCTATTTATATTTAAAAAAAAAACTCTCGCGCAATTATCCGACCATTATGCATTGCGTTATCATTCTCATAATTTTTTTTATGCGATTACGAGCTACAGCTTGCGCATCTCGTGTGATCGCAGATTGGCATTAATTATGAAAAATTGCTCGTAACGCATTATGCTGCCTCGCGCGGTAAACACGACTATGCGCTCTACTACGTCATTATGCATCAGATTAATGTTTCATTTAATAACATTAATGATTTCATTACATTATGATGGTAAATGACGCGCATTTACACGTCTTCTCATTAGCGGTGGATGCTCGCCCGTTCCCTTCTTCCCTTCTTGTTTGAAAGTAAACGGATATCTTAGCGTTAAGGTGAGCGAGCAAGACCCCGATTCTTTTCAAAGGTTTCGTTCCATTTTTTGCGCTTTAAGGGCCGACTTTTCGAATCGCGCCCCAACCCTTTTATTCATGGCACTTCGCTCGTAGCTGCCATAACTGCGCGTCTAGACCGGCTCCTAATGGCTGAATCACGCGCCAAGACTGTCTTACTAACGAGAACGCTGGTATTTTCAAAGGTCTCTCGAGAAATTTTGCCTCTCACCGACGGGGAATATATCGGGTGATCTTCGATATTACGCTTTTATCCGACACCGCTCGGAAACATTCAATTTCTGTGCATCCCGCTGCGCGCCAAAGTTCCATTGTAACTGAAAGTTTCACGTCGATGTAACCTCACGCGATATATTATTTATCTCTACCAGCGTCGCAACGAGTTGCTGCAACGCGAGTAACGCGTTCGTGTTAATTCGTAATGCGTTTTAACAGATCTCGCACGTATTCCCGTACGAGGTCTCGAATCTCGTTTGAAAAAGCATGGATTTACGCGAAGGACGCGAGGCGCGCAGGCACCTCGAAAATGAATATCGAGAGACCGAAATCCTGTAATCCTCCTTCCGATTTAATCCGAGATTCAATGCATTTAAGAATGTATATATCGCGCTTCGTATACGCTGCGTTTCCGCGGTCGTTCGATATCGGCTCTCTTAAATGGATTCCAGGACCGCTATATCGTACTCGTAACGGGTCTATGACCGGTATACCGGCTATTACCGTGCTATCCAGTCGCATTGCTTATTTAATACGAGCCAAGAGCCTCGTTTGAATGAATCCCGAGCTATATGTATCGACGATTTACATATATGCAGCACGTTCCGTCAAATTCAACGTTCGAGCACGTTTCGGAGGAATATTTTTGTGTCTTCGTACGCATTCCCTCTCGCGAAACTTTCCATCGGGTTACTTTGCCTGCGCGTATATGCGACTATGTGCGACTCTTGTCTTCATCTCTTCTTTAACTCTCGACTATGTACTTCATGTCTTGAATACCGTAAATAAATTCCCCGCTTTTGTTCTCTTTTGAGAATTGCTTTAAATGCAATAAACTCGCGATACGTACAAAGGAAGATTTTTGATAATGAGAATGCTTCAAATTGTAGGAAGTCTTACCATTTAAAAGAATTTTCGTGCAATATCTGCCGCGAGTGTTTATATCATTCATATGCATTTATTATTATGTAATATTTAATTCAGATACATTTTTAATTTCTTATTGTTGGATTATTCTCATACCTGGGAAAGTCATATGTTTAATAATGATAGTATGTATCAAATTCTCTTTTATAAACCGTTTATTATCCTGATCTTTTCACTTTTTAATTTTTCGTAGCAAATTACTCTAGACAGCCTTAGATGTACTCAGGAGCCATTCTCGATAGACATCCCACGTGCAAAGTTTCGCGCGCTATGTCGAAGTTTATACAAAACGATACCGTAAGCCATAGGAGAAAGATTTTCGTGAGATTAATCGAAGGTATTTCGGGGTAGAGGGAGGAGAAACCGATCTTGTCGTGGTAAATTTTCGGCGGCGCGTGAAGCACGGCGGGCAACCGAAGGAAATTAATTGCCCAAGTTCGCCTCGATTTTCCTCGGGTCGTTAAAGAGCCGTTTCCGCCGTTAATTGAACCAAGAAGCGATTTTTTATGACCAGATCTTAATTGCGATTTTAGATTAATCCTCGGTTATTAACGATCTCTCGGTGAAAGCGTCGCGCGCGAAAGCTTTAACTGCGCGATCGGAAAGAACCGAATTTATATTCGTTAAATTCCCACGGCTTAAAAAAAGAGATCAGATCCGCTGGTAATTCACGTTAATCGGAAAATTTTGTCCACGAAATTGTTCCAGACGATGTAACACGATAGATAGTTAATTCCGTCACTATAACATGTTCACAGATGTTTTTTATTATCCTGGTATTTCATAGCATATTTCGTAGCGTGTAATCCTCTTTGTGATGTAAATTTTATCGTATCGGTTAAGATAGAATTTACGCGATATTTGCGCAAATTCGCGTATTGGGATATTTCAAACTTGCAAGCGTTACGCATTAGTGTTTAACTAAGCGTAGACACGAAATCTTCGTAAAATCGATTAATTGCTATTAGGCGCGGCACCGCAGCTGTTTGATTTATAGCGGAGTTACGTACACAGCACGCCATAAATTAATAATCCCATGCTTGCCATGAACAAAACAGGCTTCACAGAATACGATGTACATTTCATTGAACGGCCAATTGCATGGGATTCTAAGAGTCAGGCGCTTAAATTTAAATCAGATAGATCAGATTAACGTGACTTTAAATTAGTTATAAATGTCGATGATTCTACAGGTCGAATTCTACGTGCGAACATTTAATTGCAATTTGGCGGTACTGTAGCTTCGAATGACATGCGATTCCCTCATTCGCGTGGATTTAATTTTCACTCACGGGCTGCGATGAAGTTGGTGAAAATAGTATGTTAAACTCGACTAATTGCTTGGTTTGTTTACGAAAACTGAGAAAGATGAAAATTATTCCACGATGAGGTTATTTTTATTTTTTTTGGTGATATAATATGATGTACATTTTTGTTACTAAGAGTAATATAATTATAATTTAATTATAAATTTATGTCTCTAGTGTGAGAGCAGAATTATGATTTTTAAAAACGATACAACAATAGAAATATTCGTGAGCGTAATGTATATACTTAACGCAATTAAAATTGTAATAAAAAAATTACCATATCTGATACGCGTAGCTTTACGATAATTTTTTCAAGTATTTAATTGTATTACATAACTATTATTTGTATTTATGTATAATTTGTTCAATTTCACATAATCAAAAGTATTCAGTTACACATCATTATAAAGTCAAATCAAATTTGAAAGCCTCAAAGCATTATTGGACTTTATTTTCGAAATCGAAGCCGCTTTTTCGCGATGTAAATATTAATAGCAATTAATTATAATAGGTAATTAATTATAAAGATCGAATGTTTGATATTGGTTAGAAGATTTTCAATCAGTTATTATATATACAATCATACATTCAATCAGTTCAACGATTGGTCGGACGAACTTTAGCCCAAGTAATAACTTCGGGGAACTCCTGTTATTGCCGTTATTATTAAACTCACCTGCGCTGCAACCATGCCTTCCTTCAATCTCTTGAGATCTGTGTGGCTCCAGGCGCTTCGTGACCAAGGATGAGTGTCCCTCAGGTCATCAAACCTGAACTCCCTCAGCTGGTTCTTCAAAAACTTTCGTATGTTCCAGGGTAGGTCGTTGTGTCTGAACAAAAAGGAAAAATATTGATCGATATGTTCATGAGTTTTATGTTCTTTAAACTTTTTAAAAGCTAAACATGACATATTACCATGTGTCAAGCAGTTGAGAGAGAGAGAGAGAGAGAGAGAGAGAGAGAAAGAGAGTGAGAGAATAAATTTATTTATGAAACACGCATTCTTTATGTATGACAAGGAATATATTTCGCGTTTATCAAATACCTCTTTTCCAGTAAAATTGTTTGGCTAGATTACACGAAAGTGCATACTTTTCCGAAGAAAAAGCTAAACATTGCAATGCAATTATTAAATAAAAAGGAAATATTTTAAACGAAATATTTTGTCAGAATATTTCGTCGTTCAAATTATTTCGTCAAAGATATTTGCTTTTATTTTACGCATTTTCTGCTTAATTGCGTTAATTACACTTGAAACGATAATGTTCGATGTTGTTCTGGAATTTCATTTTATAATGTAGCCAAAGGAACTCTAGATGGCTAAAGTTTGGTCTTTACAACAACATTACGTGATGTCCAACTTGCGGTAGACTCAGTAGCTGTTGTATCAAACTTATTTTCCATAAAGTTACAAGGGATGCTTCATGGAAATAAGAAATGTGTCTGCATTCTTACTGAGATGAGACATGAAGTCAATTCACTGACATGCTGCATATTAAGTTTCTTTTTCCAAGATAAGTATAACTATCGTATAACTTTTATTTTCTTGAAGAAAATATAAATTTTATACACGCGCAGTATGTGACTTTAATATATTATATATAAATAGAATAAATAAAGAGAAACAGAAAGAGAGAGAGAGAGAGAGATTTTGCATGCAAAATGAAGATCGTTAAAAAAATAGCTCATACTATTTTAGATTGATTTAATTTATGTAAATGATACTCGAGAAATAGAGAGAATTATTGTATAATTTATTTTTAAAACAGCTGATTTTTAAAACAGCTGACAAGAAACAGAAATTGATTGTAAAATATCGCTTTTTATTTCGATTAATTAAATTTATTTGTCATCGAATTAATAGACTGTCGCATTTCGTAGTAATTTTATATAATTCATATCCATCAAAATTTTATAAAGGACTGCTAAAATATAATTCAATGTCAATCTTGGCATCTATTGTCGCTGGTGTAAAATTGCTGTTGTTCATGCATTTTTTCATGAGATATTTTTAGTTTTCTTTTATCACGAATAATGGCAGGAAAAATGTCATAAAGATATAACATGTTGTCAGTTAATATGCCCACGGAATTATGTAAGATATATATTAATATTTATAAATGGTAATGTTTTTTGAAACAGTATTCGCGTCACGCACAGTTAAACGAGAGACACCTGGTCATTACACGTCGCGAACGATTAGTGTCAAGACGTACTGAAATTGTTCTGAATATTTTTTTTTTATTTTATGCAAAGAAGAAACTTACAATTGGAAACGAATGTTAGAAGAGTTAATTGCAGAGCTGTAGACCGAATTGTTGTAAGTATTATGTAAGCTGTGTGTAGACCAGGCTTGGCTTATATACGTACTGAAATTATTATACGTTCTCAATATTTTTTTTTATTTTATGTGCAAAGAATGAAACTTGCAATTGGAAACGAATGTTAGAAGAGTTAATTGCAGAGCTGTAGACCGAATTGTTGTATTATGTAAGCTGTGTGTGGGGGCTTGGCTTATATATACACAGTTGATATTTTTCTGTTCAATTTCCTTCAGAAGGATCCAAGTTAAATCAAACTTTGCCATATTGTGGCAGTTATTTCAGCAATCAGAAAAATGGAGGCGATTTCATTGTTACTCCAACTGTTCTTGAGTTGCATCCTATTAGGATTGATTATGTTTGGAATTACTGAAGCTAATCCTATACCACAGGGTGCGTGGACTACAATTTTGCAACCATTTCTCGGACCATGGGGATGGGGAAAATAAAAATGGTAAAAAATTTGATTAAAATAAGATATAAATAAATTAATAAAATTATTATAAATTTTTCTTCATATTTTGTTAGAAATTCTGTCGAATGAAAAATCATTATCAAAGAAAAATTCATTTTTTCTAAATAGCACATTTTATTATATATTTCAAATTTGAAAGTTATTACATTTAATATTAGAGTTTCATTAAATGGCGAAATTAGTTAATTGGTTTTCAATTTTTTCATTTAAACACAGTTATGATGTTTGCTTGTATTATTACATTATTACAATGTGAAATAAAATTTTATATTATCTAGAATGTTTTTTTTTATAAATAATTTCAATTTTGACTGTATTATGTAATATGATTTTGTTTATATTAATAATAAAAAATTTTAATAAATTTTAATATATTTTATTTTCTTTATAGATATTATATATGTAATATCTTTTTTCAATCTATTATGAAGACACGGCTACGAAATCAAACAAGGAATTTTTCTTCACAATTTTGCAGTAAATATAATCTTCGTAGTAAATAGTATTTTAAGAAAATGTACACTCGAACGTCTCCTCTTTTATGTGTAAAATTATTGATTTTTATGTTGTAAATATCTTGTTTATATGACAAATTAGACATTGTCGTAAATTGTAAAAATAGTTCGAAGAAATAAATAATATTAAATAAAAAAAAGATTTGATTTAATTTATAAATAACAAACTAACACAATACGAGCGAACTTAATATTTCCAATAAGTGTGATGAGAATAATATATAATTTTTTCTCATTTGCAAGGAGATAATAAGATAAATTAATAAATTATACTTCGAAAATGCATTAGAAGTGAATGAGTTTTTTCAAATTTTCAGAATTGTGTAAAATATGTATGTTGTTACATAGTTAAATAACAATTTATATATATAATAGTGCTTTTCATAAAATGTTTAGACATATATTAAAAAGCATTAATTGTATTATATAAATAACTAGAATTAAATGTCTTTAGTATTCAATTATCGAAATAAATATTAAAAAAGAATTCTAAACCAAATATTTTTGAAAATATGTAGGCGAAAGTATTCTAAAATGAAAATCAAAACTAATAATTTTTTGACATTTTAAAGGATTTTAATATATTAAAAAAAAAAGAAAATAATTAGTTGCAATATCTTATAAAATTGCCTTTGACAAATTGCCTTCGAATAATTTTTTTTATTAGAAAATATTCTAATTATAGTTTCGGATTTATTTTCATATGCCGTAGAATATGTCTATTAAAATTTTTTGATACCTTAATAGATTTTAATAGATGTTTCTTCTCTCTCTCTCTCTCTCTCTGTAGTACATATATTATAGACATATAAAATATAATAAATATAAGAAATCATAATATATATTGTTAGTCATTAAAATAATAACACAATGTATATACTACAACTTTAATCTAACAGTATATATAAATATATTTCAATCATAACGAGTAAATTTTAATGATAAATATTTCAATGATAAATGATTTCCGAATGTGTATATTAAGTGAAAATATGTGCGACATATCATACAAAATCGCGCGCGTTTAATCTTACATACAACAATAATAAAACTAAAGCTGCTACTTCGCGTTGTGACGCCTCAAGCACCAGAACGTAAGGTCGAAGTTATTCCGCATTTTTCGTGATTTTATACACAAAGAGTGACTTGTGATTGAGAAGCAACGTAGGAAGGATCGACTGCAATATCATATAAGCTAGGATTATTGTAAGTAATCGTGCATTTCAATGGTTGTAATAATATTTGAGAATAATCGGTACGTCTTTAACCTAACCTCTTAGCTACGCAAGAGTTTTTTCAAGTCCAGTAATATTTTCAATTACAATATTTAAATGTATCTCAATTAAACGTTTCATGAACACAATTACTGCCTTGACTCGTTATTTCAATGTATTGATTATCATAAAATAATGTAAGTGAAATAATAGCGAAAAGTTCCTATGGATTATTTTTAACTCTCGAACGTGTACGTAATTGATAATTACTTATTGTTAGTCAATTTGTTATGGAACACGATCTGCACGATGTATGCATAATCGAAATTCTATATTTCCGCGGATAATGATCGTAGTAAAATAATAAGTAATGTGCATCGTAATTAATTTCTCTTTCTATTTGTAATCTATCGTGTTTTTGATGCCCGCCAATTCTTTTCGTTTATTTCATATCAATCATTTTATGTGTAATAATTATACAATTGTTATTATTATATTAATTTACGTTTGATGGTGACTGAGATTATAATGAGACGGAGTAATTGGCGAAAATCACGAAAGAATATCGAAAGTATTGAAAATTAAAAATTGCCGAGAGTCGGAAGTGTTAAAAACCGGAGATGTTTAAAAGCGGGAGAGTCAAAAATTGAGAATATTAAAAATTGGAAACGTTAAAAATATTAAAAATGCCGAAAGTCGAAAGTCAAAAATCGGATCTGTTGAAAATCGGGAGTGTCGAAAATTAAGATTGTGCAAATATTATTAATTTGGTGATTTTAAGGTGTCTTCAGATCTATTCTCGGATATCAACTTGATTCTAAAAGCTGTCAAAGTTGTACGTTAGCTAAATATTAGTCAGTACTAATAAGTACTTGATTTAAATTTAAAGTTTATTGCTTGAATATTAAAATTATTTATCTTTTAGATTTTTATATGTATAGTACAAAAATCTTAAAAGTCAATTTTTCGTCTATAGTTTTTCTAAATATTACCTTCATTAATTCAGAAAATAATGTTAATTTATATATTTCATTACAAAAAATAAAGAAATTAATTTTAAAAAATTAATAATCATGAGTTTATAAACAAAATTCTTGAAAATAAAATTAGTTGATATTTTTTATGTATATAAAAAATATTGTGAATTACAAATAACGAATTAAACTTGTTTCAGCAGGGTTCAGGTGTAGCCGACGCCGATGTAATTTGGTGACTGAATTTATTTGGTGAGTGAATTTATTTGTCACATATATATATATAATTATATGTATAGTAATATCTGAATTTGCATAATATAGTTTTATCCGAATATATTAAATAAATATATAATATTGAAAATCATGTATGAAAATTAATAATTAAATTATATATACAGGGTGTCCCATTTTAATGCCCCACCCCAAATAACTTTCTTATTTTTAATTTTAGAAAAAGATGTTTCAGACAAAAGTTGTATGGTTTCGAGGGGGACATAAGATGGTACCATTAATTTGATCTTGAAGAGTCACATGAAGGTTACGTGAAGATCATTTTCAATTTCTTAAATGGAACACCCTATATATTTTTGCATATTCTTGTAGCTTATCTCGAGAGCTTTCCAAAACACTATAAATAAACATTTTTTCATCAAGTACGTTTCGAGTAATGAGGCTTGAAATCATTTCTTAATTTTATATAAACCATAAAATATCTTGTAAAATATTCATTTTTTGATTATCTTACCTTAATACTTTTATGTACAAAATAATGAGAGAAATCCATTGGTGCAAAGAAAACATACAGTTGTTTTTAAGAAAAAAATATGTAATTTGCAATTAACAATTCCATATTTTTTCTTAAAAACAACTGTATGTTTTCTTTACACCAATTAATTCCTCTCATTATTTTGTACATAAAAATATTAAGGTAAGATAATCGAAAAATGAATATTTTACAAGATATTTTATGGTTTATGTAAAATTAGGAAATTACTTCAAGCCTCATAATTCGAAAAGTACTTGATGAAAAAATGTTTATTTATAGTGTTTTGGAAAGCTCTCGAGATAAACTACAAGAATATGCAAAAATATATAGGGTGTTCCATTTAAGAAATTGAAAATGATCTTCACGTAACCTTCATGTGACTCTTCAAGATCAAATTAATGGTACCATCTTATGTCCCCCTCGAAACCATACAACTTTTGTCTGAAACATCTTTTTCTAAAATTAAAAATAAGAAAGTTATTTGGGGTGGGGCATTAAAATGGGACACCCTGTATATATATATATATATATATATATATATATATATATATATATAATTTAATTATTAATTTTCATACATGATTTTCAATATTATATATTTATTTAATATATTCGGATTATATATATATATATATATATATATATATATATATATATATATATAACCTAGATATATTCTTTTAATTACGTAATCTGTGAGATGTAGAGTCTACTCGAGAATCTATTTCAAATTTCAATATTAAAATTTAACAGCAAATTATTGTGATGAAAAAGCAGATATTTAATTTAAATAAAAAAATCTGGTAATAACGGTTTTTTTAATTAACATTTTAATATTTTAAACTATAAAATAAAGAATTTATTATTTGTAAAAAATTATTTATCAATAATGAAAAATTTTGACTAATAAACAGCAACGTTGAATGATGAGAGAAAAAATTCAAACATATCGAATATTACACTAGATTCTTTATGCTTTATTTATATGTGAATTTTTGTATATTTTGCAACTTTGGGTATTACTATACTTTTTAGTTTTTCAATGCATATGGCTTACGCATTTTGACAGATGTTTTGTCATTCTAACTTAATTTAACATAAATTAGTTCTATTTTCCTGGAGACTTTTGCGCGTTCCAATTTTCGTGAAATATAGTATATTTACATATTTTTTCCATATAACTTCAGTATTTAATGACAATTAGATAAAATTACAATCTTTACTCTATAATTTAATTTTCGATAATCTATTTTTGGGACATATTTAAAACGTACTCAGTTGCATCAAATTTTGCTACATGACTATATTTCGTTAATTCAAAACGGAAAATATGTATTCTCTCGAGAGATGAAAATTTCTTTGTCTTTCTTCGTGTTGTAACAATCGCTGACGGTATAATAATTATCTAATTAGCTCAAGACGCAAAATTGACAAACTTGTCGTATCGAAACGTCAAATATTCTTTGCATTTCTGGAATTTACTCTAATCGTAAGTCAGCAGACAACGGCATAGTTTAACGTAAAGGAATTTCCGGTGCTTCATATATATATATACACATGTACACCGACAACGAAGAGGCGCGCGCCGCTTGCGCGAATATGTACGTGCATTGTTACCCCAACAAATCTGCCTCGAATCAGCGATGGATCTGCCGTCCGTTTGTAACTAACCGCACCGTACCCTCTCGAATGCACTTTGCATGCGGAGCGATAGGCGCCTAACTTCCAGCAGAATTAGATAACCAAACGAGCATTTCGCGTACATAGCGCGTCCGCTTCCTCCCTCTTCTCTTCTCTCCTCTTCTCTCCTCTCTCCTGCTCCGCGAGTAATAGTTCGATCATTTTGGGAAATACGGGAGCATTCGTAGACGCGTGAATATTCGACTTGATTTAAATATCAAGAACGCGCGTCATTCTGCCCGACAATATCCGAGTGCATTCTTAGCTTTATGGAGGCTCGGATAATTTTATCATCAAAGCATAAACACGCATAAGCCCGCGTTCCATGTATACGTTCATTGTATACGCTCGATGCACGTTGAATTTAATGTTAAGTAGTTAGCTTTGTTTATTTAGAAAGTTTTTTTCCCGAGAGAAAAATACTTGCCAGAAGTGGAAATAATTTCGAGTTGAAAGAGGGGTAGTAGATTGTACGAGAGCTGTTAAGCCGCCTGCAAATGTATGTGTACACTAGTTGGCTAAATAGATACAATGGAGATTTCCTGTTTGCATATATACACATACATATATATATATATATATATATGTATATATGTATATGTATACACATAAGGAGGCATATAAGGAGAAGTAGGGAAGGGGGAGAGAGAGAGAGATCCCAAGTCCTTTTGTCCATGGATCGTCCATGCAGGATAGTGTGACCAAACGCCGGTAAAGTCCTTTGTTTCATGTGGGTTACCACGTACTCAGAAGCTCGAGACACTCGAACTATATTATGTGAGAAGAGAAGTGTGCGCGAGAATATCCAATAAAATGTATTTCAACAAAGCACGTATAACTCCGCGTGTAATACCGTGCTCCGCGTATAATTAATCCTTTAATCGACGTTGTTCCGTTTACGTCTAGTGATTTACTTCTATCATATTTTGCATTATACCGCGGAGAATTTCGGTACAATCGTTATTTGGCACGAATCGTTTTTTCGGGACGGCTATTAACAATACGTAGGAAATTTTTGGTAATTCATAAAAGTGCCCTCGTAGAATTTGGCCTTCGGCCAGAATCGTGTTTGCGTTTATCGATAAAGAAACGTTGTGGAAATCAGCATACTTCTTCGTTTTAGTCGCAAATGACTTATTGTCTCTAGTTAATAGACATAGAATTGGTTATTTTTTTTGTATAAGATGGCTTATTAGCAATTTAATTTATTTGCGATTTAATTTATTTATCCATAGAACGAAACATCTGTCAGAATACACGTGAGACAAATTTACCTAGTATATACAGGACATTATATGATTATAAATTCATGATCTACATTATCATTGCAAATCTAATATAATCGTTACCTTATGATTGCAAATTATAAACATTCAGTTTTAATTCAATTCTGAGGGTGTAGGCTAGAGGAATAATACGTGATTTATGGTAGCGCACGTTACTATTCAGTTAAAACGTAGTGCAATAATAATTATGAAGGTATTTCCGTGCTATTAAAGTACATTTCCGTTAACTCCTCATACATATTCAGCAGAGGGCGTGCCTAAGAGGCGAGATATATCTCACATTAATTTCGGCTTATGGTAAAACTTATGTACTTGTAAAAGTAGAAATTTGCGGAGACTTTCAAATTGTCTTATTCGACAATTAATATAAAATAATGAATTTTTTAGAGAAATATTTATAGAATACATAAATATAAATTGTTTCGTCGAATTTCGAATTAATTTAGTTAATAATTAAATATTAAAGACATAACGTCGATTTTATCTCGCAATTATTGTTTTTCCGCGATGATAATTGATTGCCGATTGTGTATCTCGTGTACGTAAATACGAATTGTACAAGTTCCATATTGACAGTTCGATATTTAACGGTTAAATATCTATATCTGTTGAAAAATAATTGATTGAAAATAAGCAAACGTTGAAAGGGACGTAGAGAGACGCGGTAATGAAAATGAGAAACACGGGAAATACGAGTGAAAAAACGATGCAGCGCGAATTTATAAATTATCGCTTTAAAATGTCAGGCATTTTCCACGCGTCACTACTCGAATCTCAAGTCCCTGAAAATAACTAATTCGAGCTAAATAGCATAATTAAAATAATTGCGAATGTATCTCTCGTACTTCTAAATTTTCCCTCTCCGTGATCTCATACATATTCAGGGGATGCGATGCACGCCTAAGAGCTTCGGTGTCGATTTCGCGAAACTACCGACGAATTTTCGCCGTTTGCCGAAACGACGAGTGAGGAGGGGGGCGGGGGAGAGTTACCGGCGAGATCACCGGTTAAGAGGCGGTGGGTGGTGTGAGCGGTGGTTAATTGGCAAAGCGCGATAAGGTGGCTGGTCCCCCGTATATGCATATGAATGGCGAGTATATTCCGTTTGCTGGCTGCGGTTACGTTGCTCGGCATGCAAATAAGTTTTCCGGTCTTGGGCGTCGACGCGTTTCGGAGCTATCGCTTTTGCCGAAGGAAAGGGGAGTTTAGCGGCACGATCGTTTCCTGGGGGTTACCGCGGCTGATTCGAGCGACTGCTTTCCACTTAAAATGCCCATTAAAAGTGTTTGAATAAAAATCGACGTCCAGTTGCTCCAGTTTTATCGCGCTGCGGATGCACGCAACTCCCAGATCTTCCGGGTTTTTTTCCGAAATACGGTCGCTGACGTATCGTTCCGCGCGTGTATCTCTTTTTGGAAACATTGCGGCTGAGCATACATATCGATGTATCGAGATTATTTGTCGTTCGATTTTTTTCCCTACGACTTTACGAAACAACGCTGGCTTTGCGAAATATC